GGCGGGGCCGCGGCCGCCAAGGGCAGCGGCGGAGGCAGCGCTTCCCCCCCCCGCCGCCACATTCGCGCGATTTGCGTTTTAAATGACTCGCTGCTCGCCCTGGCACCCGCTGCAAAGTTTGCCCTCCGGAGCGGGGAGGGGGGAACGAAAAAGGAAGCGATATTTGGCTTTCGCTTAAACGCAGCCGAAAGGGATGGCGAGCGGCGCGTTGGGTTTTGCGGCTCGGCGGCCTCGTCTGGCCCGGCTGCTCCGCCGGCTCTTCTTGTCCTCCCATCTCCCAGCACATCCCAAGCGGCTCCTGGTCACATCCTGCCCCGCTGTGCGCTGTCACCGGGGCCCGCGGGGCCCTTGGTCACGCTGTGTTTTGCTCCCGGAGCGCTGGGTGCGTCCGCGCTGGCCAGGTGACGGATGGGGAGTTCGGAGGAGGTGACGGGTGGGCAGGATGGGGAGTTCGGAGGTGGAAGTGACGCTGCCGGGGGATTGTCCGCTACTCCAGTGTCCCGTGTCCTAAAGCAACCTGCTGCGGGTGCCCGCGCTTCCAGTTCTGCTGCTCTACTTCTCCCCCTGTTAGTTATGGAACCACATGTTGGAAAAGGGGTGTCTCCATCGCTCTGTTTTGGAGGGAGATGAAGGGCATCTTCATGCCGCTCCTGGATGAATACAGACACTTTGTTTGCCAGCAAGAACAGGTTCAAATTTTGTTGTTTTAGGTGCCTCCTTCTAGGCCCACGCAGAGGGGGACTGTCCAGGTCTTCCTCTTGCTGCTGCTCCCGTAGAGCAGCCGGTAGCTCTGCTCCGAGGGAGTTAAACACGTTGGGAAGGGCTCCGAGAGGGCCCTGTTTGTGTTTGGAAAGCCTGGCTCTAAATTGAGGGCTTGGAAGAGGCCTTCAAGGTGTAATAATTCACAGGGAATATCATTATTCCCAGTGGGTTCCCAAAAACCTTCAGCCCCCTCTTCAAAGGCCAGGGCCAGGCTTGGCATCACGGTGGTGCTTCGGTAGAGTTTTAGGTACTAAACAGAAACAAAACAACGACAGGGTGGTTCATCTATCCCCTTCCTGCAACCACACGCGGGAGTTGGGATCTATTCGTACTGCTTTTCAGTATTTGCAAAACCACAGTTACCTTCTGAAATAATTGTGCAATTAAATAAAGACCCCCTTATTTTTTTAAGCTCATATAGAAGCTACACATGGCTGATTTAAAAAGAAATCAGTACCACTTTTATGACAATGCTGTTTTTTTCATAGAAAATTCACAATATTATCAAAAAATTCTAGCTGGAAACTAAGGATCTGGTAAGATAGTTAAACACACTTGCAAATAATGTTTTCAGCTCTGCCTTCTGTATGTTCTGCGTTTTTGTTTTCTTGTTTTCTTTCTCGCTGAGCAGTGGGCACAGAAGCTCGAGCTGTCTCCAGCTGAGTGCTTGTTTCTGGCCCTAAGCCCACTGCTAAAGATGGACTCAAGGCAGGCTCCTCTGTCGCTGCTTTTATGTAGTTTCTATTTTCTTATGTCTGTGCCTTGGCTCATCTCGGAGTCAGCTCTCTTGGTTTAACTCCACAATCACGTTCGCTTTCCTGGCGTAGAGTAATAGACATTAGAGAGATGGAGAAAACCTATTGGGGGTCGTGCCCGGTCCATCCCCCAGGGAATGTCGCGGGATTGCTGCCAGCAGGAGCTTTTCAGATCCCATGTCCAGTGCAGTTTCAAATGTCTCGAGTGATTGAGATTCCAGTCCAACTGCCAGCTCAAATTTGAAGGTGGAATAAGGAAAATATAATTTGTTCTGTCCTGGGATGCTCCTCTACCCTCGCCATATGCATACACATATACATACACATATACATGCACAAACTTACTGTTTACTCCTGTCTTTCCTTGCTTGGTGGCCAAAAGCCCTTTTGGAGTCAGAAATGCTCCTCCAAGATCCCCAGAGACCATCCCTGGGTGGTTAGAGAGAGGAGGCTGCCAAAAGTGGAGAGGGGACTTTAAGCCACATTGTCCCCTTCAAAGGAGTGGGACCTTCGGTTGGCAAAGGGAGGCCCTGAGACAGTCAGGGGTGACATAGAAAGCAGTGGTGGAGGGTGCATGGAACTGCTGAAGAAGGGAAATTTGCTGGGTTCTCAACTGGACCCTATTATATTAACGGAACCTATTCTCAGTATTAATCCTAACCAGCTTGATTTCCATGCTCTCCAAAGCAGCCTGCAAAAGGCTGCTCATGGGTATGACTTACAGAACTGAGGGTATGCAGGGTAAACGGGTGTTTATCCGAATTCTCACTCAGATGACTTCCTCCTTGCTGCTGAGATTTTATCTTCATCTTAATTATGGTTAAGGTGCCTACTAACTATCTATTTCCTTATTTTGTATTTAGATCACTAGTGACACTTGAAAAGTAAAGGAGTAGGAAATTACAGAAATCGCTTCTTTTGTAGGCAGTAGGACAGAATTAGAACAAGTTTCTGAAGCTTTCTGTTCCCATTTAGGCCAGAATTTCAGAAGAATTTTTCATATTGGGTATGAGCTTATTTGAAAACTTGGATAAACTTCACACATTCTGAATTGCTCCATTCTGAGCACTTTCAAAAACTTAGCAACTTACTTAAGTGCTGAGTTCTCAAAAATGCAGCTCAGAGAAGTCCCTTCACTTTTGTACCTCCCACTTCTTGCAACAGGCATTTAGAGATGAGTCTGTCGAAGAGCAGCAATATGGTCCGGTGGGGGTAGGTTACTGGCCTCTGGATTCTAATTCCAGCTGTGTAGTGAGAGCTCAAGCGAGTTACTTCCCTGCCTCATGTCCATCTTTACTGGCGGAATTAATCTGGCCTGTTCATACAGGAGTTCATATCTAATGACCTTAAAAATCTACTTTGGAGTAGACATCTTTTTGAGTGCAGATCGGAGCAGAGTTGGCTACCCTAAGAAAGTACATTGAGCAGGGAGGTAAAGGGCTGTCTGCTGGTGCTGGATGTTGGAAACCAGAAAAGGGAATAAGATGCTGTTTGGATCCAATTTTTGCATTTGTCATTCGTCTCTGGCTGCCGAAGCTCCTTCAGACAAACTTACATGTGCACCTGAGAGATGAAGCCTGTTTGAAGGTGCTCACGTGAACTCTCTGCTTTCCTTGCAGCCTGCTATGGGATTGTCCAGGTTCCAACCGGACCCTGGTTCTGTCGGAAATGTGAATCCCAAGAGAGAGCCGCCCGGGTGGTGAGTATGAAACACACTTGGTCTTACACTAAATAAATTGGTTCGTTGCCCTTCAATCCTGCTCCTGGAAGCAATGTGGTCCACTGACAAAAGTGATCAAGCCATCGTATTCAGAACTATGGGGAGTGTAATCCTGGTTCTGCTCCTATCTGGCTTTGGACAAGGCATTTGCTTCCCCCCTGTTTGAGCGACCAGTTATCTTTTAAAATCCTGTCCTTGATTTCTTGCTTAGACAATAGCAATAATTATATCAAACATTTTTATACAGTGCTCTTAGTCATGTTGAGGAACATACTGCCAGCACTTTTTAAGCAAGTCATTGCTGATCAAAAAGTTTCAAATCTAGATCCCTCAATCTTCTAAATAATAATAGCCTTCTTCTAAAATTTTGGTGGCATCCCTGAGCTCTTTCCAGGCAATTCCTCAGAAAGTTTTGGTGTGGAGGAAAGTTGGCATCACCTGAGGTGCTGCTATTCTGTATAAATTATCACGCTGACTGACAGGGTGGATTGGCATTCACGTCTCCCTTGCAGCAACTGTCTGTTGCATCAAGTCTTCTGAGTTTGTTAAACAGCATGAAGAATGACAGGAAGCTGGATCAGGGCTTAGTCTGTGTCTAAGCAGCAGTTTAGCAGCATAGAACACTTTACAAATGTTCTTAATTAATTCTGGCATTTCCCAGTGAGGGAGGAATGTGGAAACAACCAGGCCAGGACTGCTGCTTAGGTCCGTCTATGTGGCCAAGTTACTTGTGCAGAAAACTAGGCTGTGAGTTTATAGCACTCTTAACTACTCTGCAATAACTTCCCATCATCAGATATGGCTCCCTAAGCAAATGCTGCAACCAGGGTGTAGACCTACATGCTAGTTATGCCACAGGTGCTGCTTGGGTGTATGTGCAATTGCCATGCCATAAATCCGAGATAGCTCCCCGCTTTCACTTCATTAAAAGTGCGTTTAAATTAAACTTTGACTTTTCTCAAATACACAAGCCTAAATCAACTCAAACAGCACTTATCAATGCCTGCACTGCCTTCGGACCTGATTTAGCTGGCTCTGTGCTAAAGTGCACACCTGGTGCAGTGACAGCGACATGTGCAGGTGACCTCTGAATGCACAGACGTGTGCAGGCCTGAGCAAACAGCACGTTCCGTGTCAGCTCTCTGCGCTTGCTGCAACACAAAAAGTTTAATCTGTTTCACAGATGGGCAAAGAACTTGGCAAAGAGGAGTCGATGGCGGAATTAGGTATCCGTACCATGCTCTCTGCGTTGCCTTAACTCATTCCTTATTGGAAGCGGGACAAACAAAACCAGACTTTCAGATCCAAACTCTCTTACCGTTGTAAAATACTGGTTTTATGCGCGCTGCAGGAAAGATCAAATGTAAAACTACTCAAAGACACATCATGCAGATAGTTTCGTAGCAAATAGAGAAATTTGGATTTTGTGTGCCTTTTTTCCCCCCACTTGCCCAACTGTGTAGGCAAAAATCAACTCTCCAGGGTTAGTTACAATCCAAATGGCACCTCAGCTGGAGTAATACATGTGCACACAAGTCCTCCTCACCTGTGCTCATTGCAAGCAGGATTGTAACTTTTCACTTGTATATTCTACACTTCAAAGGGCCTCCGAGATATCAGGAAAACAATATCCCTGCAGGTGGCTCCTTCTTTAACTCGCCCGCAGTAAAATCTGTTAGACAACGCGTGGTGGGCTTCAGTCATGCCACTCAATCATGTGGCAGTCAGCCCCGCAACAAGAACTGAACAGTAATAATCTTCCTTCCTAAGCGGAGCTGGGGATGATTTCCTATCTAAATCCCTCACCTTTTGAGTTGAACACCAGCAGTCATAGCAACAGATACGCAGATGGGTAAATACATGAAAAGAATCTAGTTCTTTGATGTAGGGAACAGCATGATCAGAGAAGGGAAATGAGTCAGGTCTTAGGAGATGTGTGCTTGGCTCTGCTACTAAAACACTATCTGAATTTGTACCTCGTAGTCCGGAAGGTTGTGGCTCTTCCACTGCCCTTGGGTTTCGCTCTCCCTCTCTGTGCCTTGATTTCTCCATCATGATCTGTCTGCAGACGCTGCTTTGAGGGTCCTGCATGAGAGAGGCTCCTCGCTGAGTCCCAACACGTTGTCAACAGGAGGTTGAACTGATACTCCTATTTCTCTGACTCCATGGCAAACTCCTATGAAAAGCAGTAATGTTTTTCTTCCCACATCTGTCTCCATATAAGAATTTTAAAGTTGTCTACAACCTTAGTCCACAACAAACACGTTTATTGCCCAAATATTGGTATTTTGTCTTTGAGGATGAGGTTTGAAGGTATAAAGAGTACTGCATGTTTTAGTGAAGGTTTTTAAACATAGATCTCCCTATTTCTGGGTCTCTCATTCAGCTAGCATGGATTCCACCCTCCCTTCAGGTTAAGAAAGAGAAATCAGGAGTCCTAACTGCAGCTGGGTTCCTCTGATCACTTGATGGTTCATCCTCTGAGCTAGAAGGCCTAGTGGGTCAGAAGTTCTCACCTTAGCCACCACAACCTGGTTTTAATCAACCAGTTCTGCCCTTTTCCCAGGGCTGGGATAATAATAATAATGATAAAAAAAAGCAACCCGGAGACTGCCTAGGCCAGGAAGAGCCATGGACGCTATTGTGCTTACAGTAAGCAAGTGAAAGCCCATCCACTTTGTAATCAAATTGTGTGGGAAGCCCGGTGAGCTGCAATGGCCAGAGGGCACTCATGTGAGGGATCATGTGAAGGCTTTAGCTGTCATTTAGAAGCAGGGCTATTAAAAAGTCTTGTGTGGGGCCCGATGGAGCTGTTAACCCCTCTTGTTACAATCAGAGCTTTGCTAATGGCGTGGTGGGAGAGCCGCTTTGATCTGAGGGGTGGAGGGGAGAGCGGAGGGGCCTTTTCAAGTGCAAATTTCTTATTACAGTGTCTCGGTTAACCCAGTTCTTTCTCTCTTGGCTTTGCTGGGCTCTCCATAGCTGGGGTGAGAGCAGCTCCTGCTGGGGCTCCCCAGGGGTAGTGCCAACATCTCCTGGAATCATCCTGGGTTCAGACCAAGTTCCATGGAAAGTGATGCCCATGGCATGGACCTTTTCCCCCTCATATCTTATTTACACCGTTATCGCATGGATTTTACCCAGACTGCAGGTGCCTCTGGCCACCTCACTCGCACAAGCCCTACCAGTGTTTTCAGGTCCCAGCTGATTTTTTTTAACTCCCGATTTTATTTATTTTAACTCCCCCAAGAGCTACAAATGTCAACAGAGCAAATCTCAAACTCGCTTTAAGAGATCCACCTCCATGGAAGGTCCTTGAGGGCTACTCAAGGACAGGTACCTTGGCAGGGAAGGCCAAGGCTGGGCCATACATTGCTTAATGCAGTGGTCTTTATTTATTTATGATTTTTTTAATTGCTGTTGTTGGGTTTTGTTGTGGTTTGGGAACATCTGTCCCGTCAAGTGCTGGGTTTGCTCAAGGCGGTGAACGCAGCAAAAAAAAAAAAACACACGAGCGAGAGCCGCGGCTCGTGCACACTCAGAGCGGTAAAAGCCACCGCCTCGCTGCCACCGCTGCTTGGGGACAGCTCATTGCAAAACTTTCTGATGAAGCATATTTTTCACAGAAAAACAGGGCTTTTTTTTTCCTCTTTCAAATAAACAAATTAGAGGTTTCCATCAAGAAACGAAAGAAAAAGTAATCTTTTTGCGCTGCAGAAATTCAGGCGCTTGCTTTTTAAAACCAATAACAACAACAGCAAAAATACCCGACATGATGCTTTTCCCTGGGTGATACCATGGAGGTATCATGGTATCATGGAGGGGGAAAAGCCCATATTCAGGTCACTTATGCTTTTCCCCGACATGCTGTTGGGGCTGGACACTGTCCCCATGTGCAGGAGGGTGCCCCAAAAGCCTCCCCAAAAGCTCTTGGTGGCCGGGCAGGACATGGAGGGGGAGCCCAGATGGCACAAAAGCCAAGGCGATAATGGTGTTGGAAGGGCTGAAATTGGTCAAAATGAACGTGAGGACTCACCATGGAGCTGCAGCGAGGCGCTGGGTCTGGGTGGTGCCACATGGCGCCTCAGAGGCCTCTGCAAGCAGCAAGCGGCTGGTGGCAAGGGGACATCCCCTTGGCTCGTCTCCTGGGGCGCTGGTGGCCGTTTGCTGTGGAGAACTGCCCTCTATTTTGCCCCCACAATGTCCCCAGAAAGCAGCAAGTGGGACATGGTGCCACATGGAGGGTGGCTCTGGACAGGAGATGAAGAGTTGGGCGGACTGTGGGACATGATGACTCCCCTCACGTCCTCCATTTCCCACCTCAGCCTTTCCCCACGCGGGGGGCATTAGGGCTGGGCTCCTGGCAGTACAGAAAGATCCCGATTCATCCTCTCTCACAGTCATGAAATTGGTTGGAAAATATTAATTTAAAAATTTGCAAGAGAAGGAAAGAGGAAAAAATACGTAATGGGTCCTCTTCATTTGCCTGCTGCTTTCTGAGTCATGTTTTTCAGTTTTACTCCCCGACCACAGGGGTAGAAACTTTCTTTTAAAAAAGCTGTGAAAGTCAGTGTTCTCCTCAAGCCCTGGACCAGATGCTGGCCAGACCTGATGGCGTCTCACTGTGTCAGAGCACCTGGTTGCACCCAAACCATCTGTGCCCTTCTTCCACTTCCTCTCCTCAAAAGCAATTTTCATCACCCTGCTGCAAATGAAGCATCTATTTATTTTTCCTGAGTTCAGACTAAACTTGTTGCTTCTTTCTTTCGTTCCCAGAGATGCGAGTTATGTCCCCACAAAGACGGAGCCCTGAAGCGGACCGACAATGGCGGTGAGGAGCTCAGTGCCCACAGGCCACCCGTCACGTTCCCTAAATTCAACCTTAGACAAGGAGATCTTTATTCTGATCCCATATCTACACAAGAAGCTCCTCGTCCATAACATTTTATAAACGTATCAGACCCTGTCAGAGCAGTGGCATGAATCTTCCTGCAATAGTCTAAGTATCAAGTTGGGGGATTGTTTTATAATAACATAGCATCTTCCTCCAAACGTGTTATTACGTGGTTTGGCCAGGTCTGCAGACAGGCCCACGAAGTGTTATAACCATGTCGCTACGCAGAATTATACAGCCCAAGTACTTACAGTTTGGTAAAATGATTCTGTAATCATGGAGTTTGGATTGCAAACTTCAGGTGAATCCATCCAATTTCCAGGAAAATCATCCCAAAGCAGTAGACATATCAGTACTCCCATGCCCCCACGGGCCTCCTAGCTTTTTCATTTCTACCCTGACCAGATGGAATTTCAACTTCTACATCGATTTGGGAAGTGCAATGTTTCTTGGTGGATTTAGATTTTAATCTACCTTGGCTTGCTGAAAAAGAGCCTTCTTAAACCGTTGATAAAAGCCAATAATGGGAGCTTTGTTTCCAGGGGAATGGGGCTGCATGTCAAACCTGTCCTGTCAACATCATCTGCTGTTTGGATGCTTTTGCTGTGTTTAGTTAGGAGTTCAGCAAGTCTGGGCATCAGATCCTGAAGGGGATGCTTTTAAGGAAAATGAACATTGTGCATATCCCTTCCCAAAGAAAACTCTACTTTCATATTTAATCTGGAGGTGGCGTTCATCTCTCCATTCGTCCACAAATGACTTGATTCGCAGCCAGGTTAGAACAAGCAGTATTTCAAATCTGACATCCAGCCTAGGCCAGCTCCCTTCCTACACCCTCCTCCTCCTCCCGTGTTTGCCTGGAGACCTTTCTGGCCTTCACCGTCCCACGAGTTGCCCCACGTGAAGCTCTGCTCTGTGTTTGCTTCCGCAGGGTGGGCTCATGTCGTCTGTGCTCTGTACATCCCCGAGGTCCAGTTTGCCAACGTGCTCACCATGGAGCCCATCGTCCTGCAGTACGTCCCCCACGACCGTTTCAACAAGGTGAGACCTCCTCTTTCTCCCACTGCCTTGCTTTTATCAGTTATTCTTTCATGTCTCCTGCAAACTTTATTTTAATTTCTAGATACTTAGATCCTGTTAAAAATAGCTTACAGAGTAAATCTCTGTTCTTCCAAATAGCTTTTGCTCCTCCATTTCATAGAATCATAGAATCATAGAATGCTTAAGGTTGGAAGGGATCTCTAGAGATCATCTAGTCCAACCCCCCTGCACACGCAGGGTCACCTAGAGCACGTGGCACAGGGTGGCATCCAAGCGGGTTTGAAGATCTCCAGAGAAGGAGACTCCACAACCTCTCTGGGCAGCCTGTTCCAGTGCTCTGGCACCTCACTGTTAAAAATTTTTTCCTTAAGTTCCTGTGGAACTTTTGGTTCTTCAGTTTGTGGCCATTACCTCTAGTTCTGTTGGTGGCCACCACTGAAAAGAGACCAGCACCATCCTCCTCACTGCCTCCCTTGAGGTACTTATAGACACTGATTTCTGTCTCCTCCAACTCTGCAGCCTAAGCAATCCCTCCTTAGAGAGGGATCTGGGGAGTAAAAGAAGATGCACAGATTTTGTGCAACCTACTGAGAAATAACCAATGGTGTTGGTGTAGTTATCCAGAAATGACTGGACACAAGGTCACAAGTTCTTGAAGGCTTTGCCTCCTGAGGAGTAGTGAGAGTGAAGCAGGTGATTTGGCTGTCTCCTTATGGGAGCTCTTTTCCTTGTTTTTTTTTGCAGACCTGCTACATCTGTGAAGAGCAGGGTAGGGAGAGCAAAGCCGCGTCGGGAGCCTGCATGGCCTGTAACCGCCACGGCTGCCGGCAAGCTTTCCATGTCACCTGGTGAGTTCCCCTCGGCACCGCCGCAGGAAACGCTCTTACTGGCATGGTGACACGTTGGACACGTCACCCCGATCCCTCTGGGTACATCCCCCCTTTCAATTCCTGAAGGGAATGTCCTCAGGACGGTGGAGATTTCACCAGCAAGTCTCCCCCGGGAAGAACGAAGGGGTGGGGATTTCCCTAGGACTGTGGAATATAAAAAAATATAAGAGATGAGTCACAGTCCAGGAATGTTCTTTCTGGAGCAGAACGCATGCAAGAGTGTCATCTAAATGATGTGATTTTAAGGGCTGATATCTTCATGTAGCCTCCTAGCCTGAAAACAACATTGTCTATAAGGAGAATAGGGGGATTCCCAGCTTTGCATGAATTCCTTGTTCCTGATGTGCGTTTCCTTGGAATTGTTACTGGCCCCCTAGGCCTGCCTTAAGAAAAACAGAAATTGCAGCCTTAAGAAAAACAGAAATTGCAACGCAAACTGGTAGAAAAGCACTCCGAATTTCAGAGATGTTGTTTTGAATTAGAAATACACTGAGGCTTTTCCTGCCTCGTTGCAAACCATTTGCCAAGCAGGGCAGGAGACTGCAGACCCTGCCTGGGCATCCTGAATAATTGTTGGCCTGTTCATGGGCTGTGTTGTCTGGCTGTACAATTTGCTTTATCCGCCTCCTGACTCTGTATTTCAGTGCCCAGATGGCTGGCCTCTTATGTGAAGAGGAAGTCCTAGAAGTCGACAATGTCAAATATTGTGGCTACTGCAAGTACCACTTCAATAAAATGGTGAGTCTCTTCACCCCTCCAGTGGCGTTTTGTCACATGGAAGGCATCATCTTCATCCTAAATTGCATCTGTGTCTGAAACTGTAGGAAATGCCAAGAACATATAAACAAGGTCTGCAGCCTGCTTCCCTTTTCTGCCATTCAGGCAGAATCACTTAGGAAGAAAGATTAATAAAAATCTTGCATTTCTATAGCTTCTTTAGACTTATTTTCAAAGCCAGGGGTTGAATTCTTCCAATCTGCTTGGGATTTCCTGGAAGGATGCTAAGGTGCTGCTTCTGGCCAGTGTGACACTAGGAAGGTGTTTGATGTTCCAGAGAGCTCAGGGTAGCTCAGGCGAGACCTTGTGCAGGAGGCTGTAATGCAGAACAGTCATAACTTCTGCCTGAGCTCGGGGGCAGCCCAGAGGAGACCTAGAGCTATTCAGCTTTTGGGGAACATTTTCAGCAAATGACTTCCCCCTATTAATTACAGGACTGAGAGGAAGGAGAGGAACCCTTTTCCTTTTCTGCATAATCAGTAGACACCTGTACTCCCCCCTCCAGCAAAAAGGAAACTTGATCCTCTCACTGCATCTTTATGTCACAGAGGCTTCTTTGTTTCTGGCGTTGCCACTTTCCTTCCTGCTTATCAGTGCTGTCACATACAGTAACTGATGTCCTCAGCCTCTGCTCAAAGTCAGGCTGGAGGACGCCCTCCCTGCCTTGCAGGGATCCGTGGTTTCCAAGGCAAGCGCGGCTCCGGCTCGGCTTTGCTGATGCTGAGATAGGGAGCAGGGGCTGTGCTAATCCCTGGAGCTGGGCACAGCCCCCACGGTGGTTGCGAAGGGCTCGGGGCAGGGGTTTAGGTGCCGAGAGGCCGTTCAGGATGACCCGCTTGTCAGAGCGATGTTGCCGCTGCCTTTTATCGTCTCCTTTGCCGAACACTCTCCCCACAGCTGGGTCTTTCTTCTTGCATGGGCCGGTGTGCAGGGGCCACCAGGAGCCCAGGATTTGTGGAGCTGCAAACTTACACACTGCTTGCAAGCCTGTTAGTTGATCCTCTGCGATTCCCCATATTAGGAACCAGGCTGGGCAACTGCTGCTCGCAGAACTTGGTGCAGTTATAGACAAACCCTTTACCATAACATTGTCCTAACAGTGAAAGCTGGAATCCATAGGCACTGTTTTTTCTCTCTCTTTTTGTTGTCATTTGCCCTTTTTATTGTTTTCCTCCTGTTCTCCGCCTCCTCTCCCCTTCCCCGCTTACCTCAGAAGACCTCACGTCACTCCGGTGGTAGCTCCTTCATTGCTGGCAGAAGGAGCCGGTCCACGTCCCCTGCTCAAGAGAAGCACGTTTCCCACCACGAAAGGCCAAAGAAGGTAAGAGCTGCCCAGGGTTTGTGCATCCAGAGGAGCAGAGCCATGGGGGATGGAGGTGAGGAGGGGACGGGTTTGCAGAGGGCTCTGGTAGCTCCTCAAGTGGGCTCTGCTGCTGCAAGGAGTTTCACAGCCAGGGATTTGAGCAGTGGCTGCATTTTTATGCGTGCAAATAGCCCAGCTCAGCCGCGGGGAACAGGCAGTTTGTGTGTTCAGTTATGTCAGGGGGGTCCTGGCAAAACATGCCTATAACATGTGTGACTTCTTCCTTTCTATCTTGTGGCTCGTCCACCCTGAGGATTAGACTGTGCCGGGGCTTCCATCAGTTGACCCGTGTGGAAGCACTTTGGGCTGTGGTGTTAAATGCAGCAGCTAGAGAACACAAACCGAAGGTCGTTGTCCTCTGATCACCGAGTTCAGGTTTTAAAGGAGAAAAGATACTGATTAATAATCTATATCACCGCAGTTCAGTTGTAGGCAATAACAATAATCAGGAATTTTATGGAAAGCATTTTATTAGTCACATTAAGCCAGTCGTGGGAATGCCACATGCTTCAAGTCTATCTGTGAAAATAACTTACCTTCATTTAACAATTATTTAGAAGGGCATCACATGGCAGCTCTGCCTGGGATGGTGGCTTTTAAAACTCTGCTGCTTAACGTGTCCTCCTCAAAAGTGCTGCCGTGTTACAGGACATGTTAACAGCACGCCGAGGTTCATGATTAACCAGCTGACTCATGTGACACAAGCTCATATTTCAAAGAAAAGCAGCAGCAAACATGTAATGCAGAATCCCAAGCAAAGTCCCACGTTCCGAGAGGGATCCAGGTTCCAGCATGGAAAAGCCCATGTGGAAAGCAAGGAGGAGGCTGGAGCTTTGTGGGCTATTTATTATTTGTAATAATCAATTGCCCTAAAAGGCAGGACACACTCTCAAGAGGATTCAGGTTCTTGGGAAAGTGTTAACAGAGCAAGAAATCTCCCCTATTCTTTGATGAACAGAACTTTTGCATTGTCGAGGACACGCGACACGGTGCTGCCACCTTCCTTTGCACCCCATATATCCAGACCAGCAGTATAGAATCTATAGCAGAAGTCACTTATGTGAGGATGCTTTCTGTATGGTCAGTCATCTTTGTAACGCTTTACATGCCAGGTTGTGTATAATTCCCCATACTGACAGCTACATTTACCGGGTTGTGTAAGCACAAGCAGCAGTGCCCGTGCACATCCGTGTGGATCTTTTAAGCCCCTCCATGGGTGCCTAGCTATTGACTGCCTATTTTTTCAGCCGTTTGCTTTTTGCATCCTCACAACAAACAAACATGTGAAGCCGAATGGTAACGATAGTGACCCGCATCCAGAACAGCCGCGGGGTCACGTGGGATAAATCCGATGGATCTCAGCCCAGTTCCCAGGGGACAGGGCTTTCAAGCGCAATATGGCCATCAGTTAATACCAACTGGCACCCTCCTGGCAGGCCCGGCCGAGAGACCACAAACCGCGTTGCCATGCAAGTCATCCCCGGTCGTTTTATTTACAGGGGTTAATCCCTCTATATCCAGTTTGAAACGCTGCCCAACGTGCCCGTTTTGTGCTCGGGAAGCCTGCCCAAGCCGTACCTGATACATGGGCAAAGAAGGCAAGGCTCCCTTTGCAAGAGCACGCGGTCCCCGGGCTGATGCGGAGGCAGTAAATTGCCCGTTGTCGACAGGGCTAGAACGCATGGGCAGTATTTACTTCTCGAGTATATTCAGCTGCCAGGAGGGAAGGAGGAGGCAGGAGGGAGAAAGAGCATCTGTGCCCTGGGCCGGGCGAGCGAGCGCTTGGC